GTCTGTGGTCCGTTTCCAATCAAAACCATAAGTGTGAATTTGTACTTTGTGAGTTTTATTGATGACTTTTCCAGATATTGTCATCTCTTTCTAATTAGTGAAAAGTCCTCAGTCCTTAATTGCTTCAAGATCTTCAAATATGAAGTTGAAAAACAATTAAATGCAGTGATTAAGATTGTTAGATCAGATAGAGGATGGGAATACTTTAGTAGGCACACAGAGGCAGGTCAACAGAAATGTCACTTTGCTTGTTTTCTTGAACAACAAGGGATTATGGCACAATATACCACCCCTGGAATATCTCAACAAAATGGGGTGGCGAAAAGAATGAATAGAACATTAATGGGGATGGTAAGGAGCATGATCACAAGATCCAAGCTGTCTAGTTTTCTTTAGAGATAATCTCTGAAAACTGCAAACTACTTATTGAACAGGGTTCCTTCGAATGCAATACCAAAGACACCATTTGAAATCTGGACAGGCAGGAGACCTAGTTTTGATCACTTTCATGTTTGGGGTTGTAAGGCAAAAGCTAGGTTTTATAATCCTAATGAGAAAAAGCTTGATTTCATAACTATATCATGTTTTTTCATTGGATATTTTGAAAAGTCAAAAGGTTTCAAGTTTTATTGTCCTGGAGCACATACTAGGGTTCAAGAAACTCATAATGCAGTGTTTCTAAAAGATGATGATGTTTTTGAGCTGGTACAAGATAACTTTATTTTTGAAGAAGTTAACCAATCAATTGAATATGCACCTCGGATGGATTATGAATCGGTGCCCATATTAATTAGGTTGCCTGCATCCAACCTTGATTCAGACCAAGAAATAAATGACACTGTGAGTGCACAAGATACTCTAACAACAGAACAACCAAACACTGAAGGTGTTTACATTCAAGATCGATATACTCAGGTAACAGATCAGTCATTGGTACAACCTTCACCAAGAAAATCTGGGAGATTGGATTCAATGTCTAAGAATAATGTTTGGACAAACATCACAGAGTAAGCCTATAGGATGTAAATGGGTTCACAAAACTAAAAGAGATGTTGCTAGAAGAATTTAAAGGTATAAGGCTATATTAGTGGCAAAAGGCTTCACTCAGAGAGAAGGAATAAACTACAATGATACCTTCTCACCAGTCTTCCAAGGATTCCATGTAGGTTATCATGGCATTAACTGCTTATTTTGACTTGGAATTACATCAAATGGATGTAAAAATAGCTTTCTTGAATAGAGATGTATTGGAAGATATCTACATGGTTCAACCTATTGGATTTGTTGAAAGTGGAAAGGAAAATATGGTTTATAAGCTTAATAAGTCAATATATGGACTTAAGCAAACTTCAAGGCAATGGCTTCTCAAATTTGACCAAGTAATCACTGCACATGGGTTTATAGAGAACAAGTTAGATAATTGCATTTATCTTAAGTTCAAGGGATAAAAGTTCATTTTCTTAATTCTGTATGTTTATGGTAGTCTCCTTGCAAGTTCAGACAAGCAACTACTACAGGAAACTAAGGTTGTTCTCAGTACTAATTTTGATATGAATGACCTAGGTGAGGCCCATTATGTTCTAGGAATTGAAATTGTGAGAGAGAGAAACAGAAAGTTACTTGGTTTATCTTAGAACGGGTATATTGAAAGGGTGCTGAACAAGTTCAACATGGAGAATTGTAACAAAGCAGATGTTGCAATGAACAAGGGAGATAAAATCTGTAAATACCAGTGTCCTAAAACTGAAAATAAGGTCAAGTTGATGAAGATGAAACCGTATGCTTCATTAGTTAGTAGTCTTATGTATGCTAATATATGTACAATGCCAGACTTAGCATTTATTGTTGGTTTGTTAGGTAGATTTCAATCAAATCCAGGTGAGGCTCATTGGGTTGCAACAAAAAAGGTTTTGAGATATTTGCAGAAAACAAAAGGTTACATGTTTGTGTATGGCAAAGAGAATTCATTAAAACTGATTGGTTTCATAGATTCAGATCTTGTAGATGATAGGGGTGAGAGAAAGTCAACGAGTGGTTATGTGTTTATGTTGAATGAAGCTGTTGTTTCATGGAAAATTGCCAAGCAAACCATTATATCAACTTCGACAATGGAAGCTAAATTTGTTGCTTGTTTTGAAGGAATGAAACAAGTAGTTTGGCTTAGGAATTTTGTCACTGATATGAAGATTGTAGAATCTGTGAAATGACCTGTGAAGATGTTCTGTGATAATAGTGATGTTGTATTCTTCTCTAAGAATAACAAGAGAACTTCAGCCTCAAGGTTGATGGATGTCAAGTTTCTTAAAGTTAGAGAAGTTGTAAAAAATGAAGAGATTGAAATTTTGTATCTGCCAACTAATTTGATGGTTGCTGATCCACTTACAAAAGCACTGTCAAATAATGTGTTTAAGGTACATGTTATGAAGATGGGAGTCTTAGAATCTTTTGACAAGTGAGAGTGAACAAGAAATCAAAAGCTTTAAGGATTGCAATTGATGCTTCTTTGGTTAATCTTGGTTGCTGAAGCTGTGGACCTCGAGGTACAAGTTAGTTAGCTAGTATGTTGTGTTGGTATGACTTGTTTAGGTAGTGTTCCAGCTTATTTCTTTTCCTTTGTTGTTGTTTTAGTTGTCAATAAGGGTTCAATTTTCTTTTTGTGGGAAATTGATTGAACCAAAAGACAAATTTTATGAATAATAGTTTGATTTGCTAGAAAATCAATTGTGGATTTGTTGAGGTATTTCTGGAAACTATTGGTTTACATTGATTGGCTAAAGTTTTTAACTTTTGTTGAGATCAGTGGGAGTAATGTGATATGACATTGTTATTTACGTATGTTCACAAAATACAGGCTAGAGTACATTGTGATTCTTGAGATGAAATATGTGAGGTTGCAGATGGAATTCTAGAGTTCTGTACTTTAAATGTATGGGTGAAATTTGGATGTAAAGACAAGCTCTTGGTTAACTTAGACTTGGTGATCACTTCCATAAAATTTGATGTACTGGATGTTATGTTTCATTCTCAAGTGGGAGAATGTTAGCAGGGGCGGATCTAATAAGGGACCAAGGTGGTCTCAGGACTACCTGAAAGCTTGGATAAATGGCTGTGAGGACCTTCAATGACCACCCAAATCTGGGCAGTGGTGGAGAAGAACAGCAGCCATGGTTGCTGCACGCTGTTCAAAACAAGAGAAGGAACAAGAAAGCTAATTTTTTTTCTTAAATGACTTGGCCAAACGACGTCGTTTTGAGCCAAGTCATTAAAAAAATTTAAAAACTCACGTGATAGAGTGCTCACACTACCAATTTATTAATATTTAATAAAAGCCCATTCATTAGTCAGATTGATTTCAATCATTCACACTACCAATTTATTATACCTAATTGTCTGCTTCTCACGCTTCCCAAGCCAGCCGAAGGCCATTACCCATCAGCATCAACTTTAAAATTTCTATAAGTTTTCTAATTTAGTGTTAGTTGATACAGATTTGTTAGGATTTTTAGTTTTAGTATGAAATCCTGTCGGGGACAAATTTAGTATTTCTAACTTGTTTAGCATAAAGATTATGAATGAAAAGTTGTAGTTTGCCATTTATTTGTTCATCGCTATTTTCGTCTATTTTTTTAGAGCTTTTATATTGGGACCACCCTATGTTAAAATCATGGATCCGCCACTGAATGTTAGTATATGAGTATGAACATAACATTAGGTCCGGTTATAGTGTGAGAATTGGATATGGAAAAGTCTTGTTAATAAGCTTTAGTAGTCCTAATCCTTATAGGATTGGTAGTTCTGGTATAGCACTTAAAGTAGTACTGGGATTGTGATTATTCATATGTTTTGGTATGAATTGGATAATTGAATCCTACACTGATTCTAATAAATCAGTGAGGATTGGCTTGGTATATACACGCTAACCACTGCTCTTGCAATGTACGGCTCAATTTGATTCAAAGCCCTATTATTTTAGAGCACTAGCGAATTGCTAAAGAGGAGAAGGTTAAATGTTTCAAGGAGTTTCAATGCTTCATCATCTTCACCTGGTGTTGCAGGTATGTGTTCTATCTCATCTCTGCATATACAATCTGTTCTTGATGATTGTGGTTCAATGGCATCTCTACGATCTATGACATGGTATGTATGCATATATCTTACACCTCAATCCTCATCCAAGACCACCAAAGAAAACGTAAATGTTTTTAGAGAAACGACACCATTTTTAGCAAAGTTTAAAGAAAGTCATTTTTCTTAAGATTATAAAAAGCCCATTATCTCTCTCTCTCTCTCTCTCTCTCTCTCTCTCTCTCTCTCTCTCTCTCTCTCTCTCTCTCTCTCTCTCTCTCTCTCTCTCTCTCTCTCTCTCTCTCTCTCTCTCTCTCTCTCTCTCTCTCCTCTTCCTATCGTCTTATAAATTTGAGCTATTCCCAATCGTCTTATAAAAGGCCATTTACTCTGTTTGACCTATAATAATGTTGACTTAAAGACAATTAAAATAACATTAAAAGGTGGGATGTACGCTCAGCACACAGTGATATTGGTTGGCCAAGTGCTCAACAAAATGTCTCATCAGAAACACTAAAGAAAAAATTTTACCGCTACGCGTGCTATTGTTTAAATGCAACAAGAATAGTCTCATCCGCCACTATTTAGTTATGTTCTAGTGAGCTAACTTTCGAGCTTTTTAAAAAAGAAAAACAGGAAAGAAAACAACTCTGCAAATGATCGGTCAGAGTCCATAACCTTATCGGCCCTAAACGGAAAAGAAGGGGGAGTTGTCAGCGATCACGGCAAATGGTGGCTCTCTCGCCGGAGAAAGTGAGGTATGTTTCCTTTTATTAAATATTTAATTTCTTTACCAAGGGTAAAAGTGAAATATAGGAAACTGTTGGATGGCTGTGCCTCAATCGAATCTGTCATAGTTTAAGGACTTAAGGAAAAAACTTTTCCAAACGTCGTCGTTTCTTATCTTAATAACATTTAGAAAATGGAAATCAGAGTCACTCTTCTAACTCGTCGTCTCAGTTTTTGACACTCGGAAGGCCGTAACAGCGACAGAGAAAACACTGCGAAATGGCATACGCCGCCGCCCGGCGCACATTAGCCTCGGCCCTCAACCGAACCCTCGCTTCATCTTCCGCCTGTTCGAACTCCTCATTGTCCCCTCGCTCTCGCTTCGCCATCGCTCTCCTGAACAAACAACACGCCCAGCCCGCACCCGGTTCGGCGAACGTTCGGACCCTGTCCAGTAAATCCGGGTCGGGTTACTCTCCCCTGAACGACGCCTCTCCGAACTGGAGCAACCGCCCACCCAAGGAGACCATCCTCCTCGACGGCTGCGACTACGAGCACTGGCTCATCGTCATGGAGTTCGAAGACCCTAAGCCCTCCGACGAGGAGATGATCAACTCCTACGTCAAAACCCTAGCCACCGTTCTCGGAAGGTACCGAATTGACCAGCTTCTATAATATGCTTGGATATTCTTTTAGGTGGCTTTTGATGGTTTTTGGGATTTCAGTGAGGAGGAGGCGAAGAAGAAGATATACTCAGTTTCTACTTCGACGTATACCGGATTTGGGGCTTTGATTTCTGAGGAGCTTTCTCTGAAGGTCAAAGGTAATCGTTTTCGGGTTCTAGATTTTAGGGTTTAAGGGTTTTGGTGCTTGCCCTGCTTTAAATATTGGGTATTTCTGTTTTAGGTGGATAAGGGTTTAAGGGGTAAGATTAAAGTGCTTCTCTTTTTATGAATTAGGGTTTGTTTGATTGAAATGGATCGAGATATATAATAAAGATTCAGGTTTTAGGGTTTAAGTATAGTTATTTGTATGAATTATGGCTATTTGGTTTGAATTGCAATTAGATGTTAAGGGTTTAAGGGTTAAGTGGTTGAGGGGTTGCTTTTGATTGTTTCGGTTTCAAATATGTAATTTGTGATTGAATATGATGGCTTTCCGGCTTGGTTTTCTAAGCCTCCTGCTAATCATCTTCTGCATTTCGTATACAATTTGATTTGTATTGGATTGTTTTGTTTAAACAGGGCTGCCCGGTGTTCTATGGGTTTTGCCGGATTCATATCTCGATGTGCCCAACAAAGACTATGGAGGTCGGTATATGCTGAAACTTAAAATCATGTAGAAGTTTTCAATATTCAATTCGAACTTACCTTTCAAGTCGTGATTAGTTGTTTATATGTTTTCTTAAACCAATTGTAGGGGATCTATACATCGATGGGAAAGTCATTCCTAGACCACAGTATAGGTACAATGAAAGGCAACAACAAACTAGAAACAGGCCTCGTCCACGATATGATAGGCGCAGGGAAACAATGCAGGTTGAAAGGAGAGAGCCAATGCCAAGACAGATCAGGGGCCAGGATCAGAAAGAATCTGTGCAGCAAACAACTCAAAATGCGGCTCAAGGTGGAGGGACAGAGTTTAACAGGGGCAATGGCTTTTAGATCGAAATATAGTTGCAGAGTCACAAAGTTTTCAATCCTAGGTTACTATGAATGAAAAGTTGGTGTTTTTGCACTTGGATTAATATTCCCTAGCATCGTTTTGAAGATAAGAAAGTCAATATTTGTGTCGGTCCTTTCTGGGATTTTGCCCGGTATTTGTTTTACGTCTGTTTATGTTGAGCTGTGCACTGAAGAACATCAAGTATTAGAATGAATTTAGTATGCTATTATCTATCTGTTTCCTTCATTGCATTCCTAATTAGAGAGATCCAAATGCATATGTTTGTCGTAAGGTCTTATACAGTAAGCTTTGGGACTTGGTCATAGCAAAAGGTACTTCATTTCGCAGGAGGCATGTTAGTCTTAGGTGTTGGGAGAGGGCAAGCACCATGGAATGGAAACTTGTGCATGAAATTTACTGATTGGTGAGGTTTTTTTGGGTGGATTTGAGATGAGAAGCTTCCATTTCATGTCAATTGAAAGAAGCGTGTCCGTAGCATTGCCAAAAGAAGGCCCGACTCTAAGTTGTTCAAGAATAGTGGCGTTGAGTTTTCGACCCTTTGCCTAGTGTATGCACCTTGTTTCATGCGGCTGTTAGATGTGAAAAAACTGTTTCTTTCATTGTCTTTCTCTGGTGATGGTGGGTGAAAGTTCCATTGCAAAGAAAGACCCCAATTTCTATGTAAAGATATGGAAGGGCAGGATAGTGTTGATTCGTAGTCTTATCGATTTCTAATTCTTTGATCTCCTTTCTCAAGATGCCTCTGTCATGTTTAATAATTCGTAATCAAAATCAAAATGTAATATGGCATGTTTATTATCCCAAATTGCAATCAAGCAACGCTGAAGCAAGTCTCTATTTGAAGAGATTATGGTTGATCGGGAGCAATTTTCACCCATTAACCTTTCCTTTTTCATCAGCAGGTACTCTCCATGGAACACCAAGATTGGTATCCGTTTGCCTTCTTGTTTGTCTCTTTCGATCCTTCATTCTCTCCCTTGTACCAAACCACCCATGATGGGTAACCAGGTTAAGCGTTGAACTGAAATGTGGTGCCAAAAGTGATGTGATTGTGAGCCTCAAATGAAAGTTTAAACATCTAGCTTTAGCTTGAAAACGAGATTACAGATGATACTTGTTCTGATCTTCCTCCATTATCATCGAACACTTACACTATCATATCAATTGATAAATAAATTTTGTTAATCAAGCATCATTATATATAGATTTTTTATCACACCATTATACATGCAACAATAATTATAATTTTGAATTAGATTACATTTCATGCTTGGTAATCTGCATATCAAATCCATCAAAAACAGGAATGATATTATAATTAAGCTAAATTTAACAAATGAGCGAAGAACTCATACTAAATGCATAAAGCACATTTAAACACATTTCTCTAGCCAACTTGAATACGCTAAAACTCAGCAACATGAAAACGTCTACATCTCCAAATTAATTTTGTTGTATCAAATAGTTTTTAAAAAAATAAATAAATAAATAAAACAACAGTGGCAAGAACGTCAAAAACAAAACACCATACCCGTCCACATTTCAGGCCTCAGCAGTTAAAAAGATGGACTTGGATTGTCTGCCCTCTAATTTTGGTGCCTTCCATGCCCTCCTGTTTTTGTGATCATGGTTAAGCCACGTCAACATTTTATATTACTATTTCTTTTTGTTTTATTATTTTTATAAAAAAAATAATATAAAATATTGACGTGGCTTAACCGTGACCACACAAAATAAAAAGGCACGGAAAGGACATCGAAATGGGAGCGCAGACAATCCAAGTCCTAAAAGACACCCAAAATAGAGCGGTGACAAATTGGCACCAAAATAAATCAAAACAATATTCCAAATCTACCAAGTGCGTGCCATCACCGACTTCCTCTTTCTCTCTGTCTCCGGAATCTGCAGATCTCAGAAAACTCTCCTCTCTCGGGTAAGCAATCTTACCGGATCTCATTTCTTTTGATCCAGACAAGTAAACAATTTCAATTCTATTACCATGAATTCCAACTTCGACTTCGATCTGGGTCTCGGATCCAGCCGACCCAAATCGCTCAACGATCAGAAGAACAAGACCTCATCTTTCTCCTCCGCCACCGCCGCCCAATCCCGACCCTCCTGGCAACAACCCACCGCCGGCAGAACCACGTCCTGGACCCACCAGCCGGCTCCGACCCAGACCGCCCGACCCGGATTGACCAACGCCCCAACTTCCATGGTCGGCGATATCTTCGGCAAAACCTGGACTTCCGCGGCTCCGGCGGTTTCCGCCACCCCGATCACCGTCGTCAATAAAAACCCAAATTTGTTTGGGGATTTGGTCAGCTCTGCCATGGGTGGTAAGATCAATAGTAATAGCAATGTTCCTTTGAAGAATGCGACCCCGGCTTCGAATAAGAGCTCGTTTTCCATGGGAAACGTGGCCGATTCGTTGCCCAAAACCACCACCGCTGCTAGTAACTGTTCGGTGAAAAGTGGTGGTGCAAATTATGGTGCTTCTGGGAATTTTGGGAGTTTCTCCGGTGGGTATAATAGCAATGCCAATAAGGTTAGTAGTGGTGTCAATGCTAATAGTAATATGGGTGCGAATCTTGGAGGTCCTTCGCTGCGAAATATGGGCAGTGCTAGTGTTGGTGGCAGTGGATTGAGCTCTAAGAAAGACCCTTTTGGTTCTTTGGTTGATCTCGCGTCGAAACCATCGGCTACTATTAATTCAGCGAGTAAAACCAGTGTTAAAAGTAGTGTTGATGATGCTTTTGGAGATTTTCAGAATGCTCCGAAACCAAGCACCGCCAATACTTCATTTGCCTCGAGTGCCTTCTCAGATAGCGGTTTTATGGGGTCAAATTCGGATTCTGGCTTTGGGGATTTTGGGGTTTCGGCAAAGCCAAGCCCTGTTCAGTCTACTAACAATGATCCCTTCGACGTGTTATTTACCCCATCTTCGGTTTCGACTGGAGGTGCAGCAACAGCGAATAATGGGGTTGGAATGCAGCAATCCTCTGAAGTTGATGATTGGGGGACAGAGTTTGGAGGAGGACATGGTGACGGTGGTTCGACAACTGAGCTTGAGGGTCTTCCACCTCCTCCTGCTGGGGTGTCAGCTTCAACAGCAAAGAAAAAGGAATGGATAATTACAAGCAAGGGCAGTATCCTGATGCTATTAAGTGGCTTTCTTGGGCTGTGATTCTTCTTGAGAAAGCAGCTGATAGTGCTGGCGTTGCGGATGTTTTGTCAAGCAGGGCCTCATGTTACAAAGAAGTTGGGGAGTATAAGAAAGCTGTGGCGGACTGCACAAAGGTATCTTCTTGCTTTCCTTAAGTTGTTTTCAACAATTTACTTTGCACGTGCCAAATGTGAGTGCATATCATTGTAATTATTGGATTGATGTTGTTTGGTTGAAGTTGTAGTAGCTGCACAATTTTGTAAACTACTTGGATTTAGATATTCCTAAACAAATCGAACAATGAAATGTTAGCGTAAAGTAATGTTAGTGCAATACAGGTAACCTTATCCCAATTTTGTATGAGATGGGTAGATATTATTTCAATTCTTCTTGTAAGCTAAAGAAATGGAAACATTACCGCAATGGGTGTACATATTAGTCGTCCTTGCTTAGAGACCAACTAAGTCTGACTTAGCTCCCGTTGTCACCTGTTTTGTAGATGCATGTAATATTTTTTTTAAAATACCTTTCCATTTCTCTAGCTATTTTCAGTTGGCCATGTTTTGATTGATGTGATAAAAGAAACATTGCTAATTCAAACGGTCCAAACATTTTAGCAGTGCATGTAGATGTATGGTTCTGAACTTCTGATAGACAAAATGCACAAATTCAACATTCGCAATCACTTCTTCCGCTTCTGCCCATCAATGCTGTTGATTAGTTTGAATCAAATGATATTATGTGTTCCATCTCCTTTATCTATCTGTAGAAGAGAGTTCATAGATATTGTTCAATCCTGTGCAGGTTCTAGATAAAGACGAAGCAAATGTATCTGTTCTGGTGCAGCGTGCGCTCTTGTACGAAAGTATGGAAAAGTATAGACTTGGGGCAGAAGATCTGAGGACTGTTCTGAAGTTTGATCCAAGTAACAGGGTTGCAAGAAGCACCGTTCACCGCTTGACGAAATTGGCAGACTAGAGGGTTGTTGAAATTTTATATTTGCTAGTATATTCATTTAGGTCCATTGATACTTCGCTCTCTCCCCTCTTTACCGTCATAGATTTCTGGGGAATGTTACTCAATACTTGGCCGTCGAGGATGGTTTTCACATGGATGATGTATTTTCTTTCTTCTGTTGTTTGCTACCGGAAATGGTTCTTTGTTACTTGAGAGTGATGTTGGAATTGAAAGATTGAATTGCACTGTACTTTGTCTTCCAAATTTATTTGTTTTGGTCAATAAATTTATTTGTTTGGGTGATATAGCTCCCTGTGTTTTTTAATGCTGCCAATGGGGGCAGAAAGCCCCAAACAGAAACCAACCAAAGTTATGTAACAGAGCAAAGATTTGGGCCAGTCTGGGCATGGAAACACCAAATATATATTGATGAATTCCAACGTTATAATCGGTAACTTGCACTATTTCTGACGCCTCAGCGTAATTAGAAGTAAAACTATTCAATATATTAAAGTTTGATTCTTGGTTTTTTATTTTTCATTTAACCGTTTAAAGAATTATCCAACAAAAACGTAGAACTCGGATATAGCTCTTAATTGACATGAAAGTTATTGCGGTTAGTCTCCGACCGTATCCGTAGTCCATCCCTAGTAAGGATCCAAGTTGTGTGTGGGAAACCGCAAAACAAAGTAGCAAACCGGGAAAAGAAAAGGGTTCCGTACGTACCTGTTGGCGCGCATACGTACAAAATTAATTTGTTGAAAGATGACATGTTTTATGGACGAAGAGATTGTAGCATTGAACTGAAGATCACCAACATACAAGATCATCATCACTTTTTCAATTCCAAGATCACCACTCTGTCTCTCACCATAAACAAACAGTCATTCAGAGGTCTGCCAGCAACTATGACAGTTCAAATAGAGAGGGAGGGAAGGAGAGAGAGATTAGGAGGGGAGAGAATCCTTCTTTCTCTACCCTATGATTTTCTTCAATGCCTATATGCGTTCGATGTAGCAAATTAAGCGATGTGTCATCAATAAAAAGTAAAATGCGTGAATCAATACTATAATAATTTAATCATATTTCACGTCATATAGTTTACAAATTTGATTTAAAATTTTAGTCTTCTCATCGATTAATCCGATGTAATACAATAATTGTGGAAAAAAAGAAAGATAAAAGGATGACATCATTGAGATGTGAGGAGTCTATTTGTTTGTTGGACGCAGAAACAGAAGGCGTTTCTTTGCAACTTTATCTTCTTTCTTTGCTTCCAAAAAGCCCGCCGCTATGTTCTTATGGGATGACCAAATTCTATCCCCTCTCTATAAATAAATATTAATAAAATAAAATAAAATAATCAATCACATTCTTTTTTGGGCCTTTGTGGTCCCTGCTGGCAATTCCTGGGCAATTAAGCCCATCCATTCTATTGGGCTATACCTCCAAATTCCTAGCTATTCCTACCCTTTTGCAAAACTTTATTACAATTAAGCCCTCAAACTCCCCTTTTTTTAGTTAATAATCTTTTCCATATACTAAATGTTTTGGGTAACAACTTTTTAAAGGCCATTCTGGTGGAAATAGGTTGAAGAGGAGCATTTTTATTAAAAGTACTTTTATAAGAAGCATGATTCTTAAAAGCATAACAAAATTGTTTATTAGAAATTTAAGTTTTTTTTTTTTTAAATAGAAGTGTTTCCTAAAAAATCTAATAGGTGGTGTTATCCAAAAATCTCTCCCTCTTCTATGAGAGATTATCCACCTTTTTCGAGGGTCGGAAAGACTTACAGAGGCATTTCAGCCTTCCCTGGTCACAAGTATGGCTTCCACACCAGCAGCGAGTTTCGAACCCGAGACCTCCATTTTTTTTGTTTTAAGAAAGCATTGTAATCCGTCATTTACCACTGGACCACTAGTTCGTGGTTATCATAATACAAATCGTTGAATACTTGAAAACAAAAATTATGACTACTTGTATAATGACACTTTGTATACCGTGTCGTGTTCTTGGCACATTAAAAATTTATCCTCTTCTATAATTAGTGTCAAACTAGCTATTCATCTTTTGGTAAATATTTGGGTAACAAATTAAGAATCGTTATATGGGGAATATCTATGACAAAATGATGTCCACACACTCATCTGTTATTCAATCTAAAACTTTGAAATACACAAAAATATAAAAAGAAAGAAAAATGTATAGAAATAATTTAATGTTAATTTTAGGTTGTAATACATGATAAAATATGGTTTGCTAAAAGTAGTTTTTCAAAACTTTATTTCACTCCTTTTATAGGTATAAGAGTACAAGTGGAGAGCACAAATAGCACTCCACTACAGATTTACTATATTTAGCAAAAGTTGGAAAGCTTCATTCTTTTTCTTATGTATTGAAAATGGTTAAAAGTTGTGTGCTTGTTTAATTCAACGAGTATCAACGAGCACAAGCACAAGATGGGAGGTTAGGATGAGCCTTTGCTTGCATGTTTTGTGTGTTTCTCTCATTGATATTTTGTTACGAGCATACAAATTGCTCGTTTGGAAGTACTTTTAAAATCATTGAAAATGTTTTTGGTAAAATTAATTTTGAGTTCCAAAAGCATTTTAAGTATTTTTTTTTTTAAAGAAGCAACAAATATATACTTCCTGCATAAAACACTTAAGTGCTTTTTCATGATCCACTTGGATTTTTAATAAGGATTGGTTTAAAAAAAATTCACCAAAAACGCTTTTAATTATTTAAAAAACACTTCTAAACGAGCTCAAAATATTCTATTAAAAACTAAAGTGCTTTCTACGTTTCAAATACACAATAAGGATAAAATAAGAAGAAAAGATTTTGTGTCTATGTTAACTCAATATTACATAGTTTGCTAAATAAATAAATAAATAAATAAATAAAAACACCGAAACGGATCGTAGTAATCGAAACATTCCAAATGTGTGTAAAGATTTATAATTTAAATGGCTAAGAGCGTTTGTACACATGAGATTATGTATTTAATCCCCTCGCCTAATAATATAGCTTTGCGTCAAGCTAAAAATTTGTGGCTGAGATTGTAATTAGCTCAAATATTGGAGTCATTTAACAGGGACGTCGGTCCAAATGAGCTGGTGCAAGCAATGCCTTGTTGCCCTGAATCTCATCCGTTAAAGTTTGGAGCCAAATCTAAGGCACGCGTTACGCTTCGTAACACTGTCAGCATAACCAACTGTTCCTTTGCACAGCGAGACAAACCCAAGTAACAGATTACCCTCTTGTAACTGCAAAGTCAGATCCTGCCCCATCACCAGCCCTTCAGTACCACTTGCCACCAGTGGGCCCCACGTAAATCGTACGTTCAAAATCAAATGCACGTATTTCCACCTCACCTTTCGATTCCTTTACTTTTTTCGGGATTTTCTATTTCGCACCAAACTTTTTAGAGCATCTCGTTGCCGATTGATCGCTGAGGGGATTCTCAATTAAAGTATGTTATCACAAAAAAATGTTAAGAAGACTGTCTTAAAATGAAAATTTCATGAATTCTCTGATACTTTATATTTTTTACATAATATTTTATAATATTAATGTAAAAATTGATGTTAAATTATGAGGTAACAAATAGTCTTTTTAGCATTTCTCTATAGGAGTGTTTCAGGTTGTGCACTTAGCTCTTTTTTTTTAGAAGTAGGAATTTTTACATTATTACTAATCAAAATTTAATGAGAATTGTTATTGTTACTCTTAAAATCTTATTTTAACTCTAAACTTTCTATAATTAGAAAGAAAAATACACTTGTTAAGAACTTAAGAGGGTAAAATAAGATTTTTGAAAATACTAATAACAGTTCTCTTTAATATTTGTGCATAACTTTTTATAACTGTCCACATGTGAGATTGTGATTGACCACAATATTGGAGCCAAAATTCAGGAAAATTAACTATTTGTAGCTGGAGGTATCCTTTATATCAAATTTAGCTTCCTATATAAAATCTGCGACCAATTTATGGTTTAGGGTTTAAGAAAATGTTGTTGGACTCTGCCTTTCTCTAGTTTAAAAAAAGCACCCCTCATAAACTTAGCATAATAATTTATTCACTTTCTGCATGCACTTTTCTTTTTTCTAGCCCTATGATGTTGAACAAATCAAAGCAACGTTACCCTTATATTTACAACATGTAATGCATGCTTATATTTACAATATGTTACGTTACCCTTATTATTTTAAGTTAATCACGCATTTATCATGTAGAGTCACATAACAATGTTGATGTGCATTAAATACCGTTACAATGACATCTTTTCTTAAGTAAGCTTCTCATACATGCCGTGTCCTGAGAAAACAAGGCCCACTAAGACAACTTACTTTGTTTTTTGTCGTTATGCAAAAATGTTGGTTGTAACCGACGGTCGTCTATAAATACAGAGCTCTAGAAGAGAGGCTTCTTGCTTTGTGCGTGTGTCATGAGAAAGCTCTTTTTTCTCTCAAAGTTTCTACAAGAGGCAACATAAACATGTGTGGTGGTGCTATCATTTCCGACTTCATCGCCGCCAAGCGTGGCCGGAAGCTGACGGAGAAGGACCTCTGGTCGGAGCTTGACACCATCTCTGACCTCCTCGGCATAGACCACTCCAACAGCATCAACAAACAGCCTGAGGATTACAAGGTGGTCCAGAAGCCCAAACCATCAGTCACCAAAGGTATCTATCTATAGATATAGATAAATATATATACACACACACACACACAATTTTTTATATATGGCATTTTCTTTACTGGGTTTTGTCTAGAATTTTATCTACTTTCTTATAAAGCTTGCATGATTAATTGTATTTATTTCTCAGAAGTCAGAACTTGTCTGTCTCTTCTGTTTGCTGTGTTTCTTGCATGATTTTTTTTTTATCTGGTAATTGTATATGAATAAAACTTTTCACTAGATTTTCAATTAAATAACTGAGTTCTTTGTGTATATTTTGTTGCTGTTTAGCTGCACTAGCTTTTAAATAATTGAGTTCTTTGTATATATTTTGTTGCTGTTTTTGCTGCGCTAGCTTTTTCTCTTAATTTTCTGGAATATTTAGAAAGTTTTTTTTTTTTTTGAACAAAAATATTTAGAAAGTGTTTAATTATTGTATTTGGCTAGAATTAAAATCTCCAATTAATTAAGTTCAGATGAGTATGGTGCTCTAATTTAATGATCACACAACTAGTAATTTATATTAGTAATTAATCATATTCTACTACCTCTTTGTGTTTATTAATTATTTGTTTTAATGGAAAGTTAGATTTCAGTGCAACTTTCCTGAAAGATCAAAACGCAAAAGATTGAAATAAAAATATGATTTTCTCTTGACACCGCCAATTGTTTTTGTTTGTAAATTGAACAAAAAAAAAAAAAATCGACAAAAATTAATTCAGAAGAAGAAAAGAGATGCAAAGAATTTATTTTCCTTGATTGAAAGTTGCTTTAAAATTAATATTTTTGTCTTCTCGTATCTTTTTACTGAATTAACAAAAGAAATGCAGTAATTAACTTATGGTTGGTGTGGTTTGATCGGAGTAGCGACAAGTGATGCGAAGCCCAAGAAGGCCACCGGGGCAGCTGCCGCTGCTGCTGCAGAAGGCAAAGAGAGTGAGGAAAAATGTGTACAGAGGAATAAGGCAGAGGCCGTGGGGCAAATGGGCGGCTGAGATTCGCGACCCCCGCAAAGGCGTCCGAGTCTGGCTCGGCACCTACAACACCGCCGAGGAAGCCGCCCGCGCCTACGACGAAGCTGCCGTGCGCATCCGCGGCGACAAGGCCAAGCTCAACTTTTCACAACCACCACCCTCTTCACTGCTTCCACCTCTGGCTCCGGCTACGCCGCCGCCGACAAAGAAGCGGTGCATTGTTGCTGAATCAACTCGGGTGGAGTCGACTCAGCCGAGTTTCCACACCGGTTCTTACTATTATGATACATTTTATCAGGGTGACGGTGATATGTATGCTAAGAATGAGGTGGCGGATGGTGACGGAGGGTATGAGCTGAAGGAGCAAATATCGAGCTTGGAGTCGTTCTTGGGGCTGGATGAGGTGGTGGCGGAGCAGCCGAGTCAGGTGGTGAGTGGAAGCGGTGACTCGGACTCGTTGGACCCGTGGATGCTGGATAACCTGGTGACGCACCTGCAACAGCAACAGCAACGGGGGCAGTTTCTGTATTAAGGCAGCGGAATTGTTCTAGCTGTATGTTGGTATAGCTAGAAAAAATAAATATTAATTAAATTATGAATGTATGTTTAATTCGCGTTTGTGGATTGTGACTGGGTTTATGTCACGTGTGTTGTTGTTTTTTTTTTTTTTTTTTTTGGGAACAAAGTCATGTGTGTTGTTTGCTTTGGTGTTTATCTTTAAATACTAATTAACTGCTTTTGTATTTGTGCATGTTATAATCAATGCGTTTCGGTTTGTCAATGTTGAAAGTGTTTATCACTATGTTTTTTTTTTTTTTTGAAAGACTAGATAAATTCATAACCAGGGCCGAAGCCAAAAACAAAGGGAAGCTTACCAAGAGGCACCAACCAAAGGAAACAAACAGAAAGCAATGAGGAAGGGAGCAAAGTCTAAAGACGCAGCACCTAGTGCCAAGCGTCACTCCCCTCATCACCAAACTACAATTACGGAGGACAGGGGAGGCCATCCTTGTTCAAAATATGCACCAACGAAGATGGGGGATGGTTAAGCCAAGTATAACCGCACATCTCCGTGTTACTTCTCAACACCAAACGGTCCGCCGCCTGATTGGCCGATCTCGAAACCCAAGACCAGCGGCACATCTGAAAGGCATCCTGAAGCCTTAAATTTTTTGTCAACGTAGGATAAGCCTCCCAGCTGCCAGAGGACAAATCATGAACCAAAGCAGAAATGTTCTCTTTAGAATCCGATTCAACAATAATTCTATGCAAACCCATAGAACTAGCAAACTCACACCCAAACCAGATGGCAAGAGCTTCTGCCACAGCAACACACGGAGCAGAAATCCTCAGCTTCCGCGCTCCAACAAACTTGCCTAGAGCGCATCTGGCCACAATCCCTACACAGCCCACAGCCGAAATGACATCCCAACTGGCGTAAACATTGAGCTTGATAAACATGGAATAGGGCGGGGACCAACGCACCACCCCCAAAGGGGAAACCTGCTGAGGCGAAGAGGTCCCCACAGAAAGACGGGAAGCCTCCAAAAAAACAGCATCCGAAGAGGAGATAGACAAAATAACTTTTTGAGGGTTAATAGCCGTCTGGTTATATAGAAAATTACACCGAGCAAAAAATATATATAAAGCTTTTGCTTTATAAAAGCGTTTTTTTAAGAAGTAACGCTTCTCTAGCTAGGAAGCATGAGAAGCACTTTTAAGTAAGTGATTTTGTGTCACTTGGTATTACGTTATATTCTTTTTTATTTATAAGGGAGAAATTTTAAATTCGATTTTCGTCAAATGCAAATTTGAATTATATTATTACTAGTTTAAGGTAAGGTTTATCTCACTTCCACACGCCCTTAAGGTATATAATATTTTGTTCAAAAAAAGTAAGTGTCTTTCAAGAAGCATGGCATTTTTAGTAAAGGTGTACTATTCACACACCTCTTTTTATTTCTTACTCACTCTCTTGATTTGCGGCGTCAAATCGAATGAATTGAAGAATATCAATAAACTGAAATTAATAAAGGGTGTAAAAAGTAAAAAAATATGTGTGAATATCACATCCATTTTAATAAAAGGTTTTTGTGTGTTCCTTGATGACAACACTCAAAAAAAAAAGTAAGCGATATTATGATAACATCTTGTTTTCTTTTTCCATTTTTAGAAATTTAGAATTTAAAATTCGTTTCTATTACATTTTCACCAAAAACTTTTTTTTTTAATTTCAATCTTTAGTTTTCAAAATTTTATTTGAAAAGGATTTGAAAACTATAATAATTATAAAAATGCACCTTATTATTGCTAATTTTGTAAAATTCTCATTCTACACTCCTCATAAATGTTTTTTTTTCTTATAATTATAGAAAGTTTGGAGTGCCAAATGAGATTTTTAGAGTGCTAATAATAATTCTCTTATATAATAGATAATAATTTTTACAAATTCATGAAGAAATCACTTAACAAAAAGTGGTGTTTACACTAGGATGCATTAAAAACTACGAGAAGATGTCAGTATGTTTTGTTGGCTATAATATTATTCACTACAAGCAATGTTTTACACTAATCTACATTAAGAAGAAAAGAAAAACTTAAATTTGAAATGCAGTATGTTAAAAAAAACCCCAAACCACCAAGTTCAATACACCACCTATTTGTTGGCTATTATGTTATATTGTTGTTAACACGTTTTGCTATATTTACCGACAATACTATAAAAATAGATAGGGAATTCTTATTATCACTCCAAAATTTTTATTTGGCACTCCAAACTTTCTATTATTAGAAAGAAAAATACAATTGTGAGGAGTGTAGAATGAGATTTTTTGAGTGCCAATAATAATTCCCAATAGATAATATGTTGAAAAGATAGTAAGGGTGGTGTTTAGATTACATGCATGATGCATCGTCATTCTTGTTGTGGGCGAGGAAGAGGATCCTCTCTAAAATCAAGGATGGAGCCAGGATTTTTTTCTTGGGTGGGCTCGTTGAAATTAGTACCATAAAATCATATGTTTATTTTTGTCTTATATAAAATTATATAATAATCAATATAAAAGAATAACAATAGAATATAAGCAATTCTCAAAATCATAACCCTAATTGACAACTTCAAAGACCATATAAATAATTAACTTACTAAATAAATCAAGAATAAGTAAATAAAAAGATTAAGAACGTACCAAAGGTTCCATTCATTGGAAAATTGGAACAAAAAGTAAGGAATTGTAGAGATGGAGATTTAATTGTGAACTAAAAAAAATTCTCTTTCTTTTCTTGAATAAGAAGTAGAGAGGCTAAAGTGCATAAGATAAATGGTCTTTTTTCTTTAACTAATATGATAGAATGGGAGATATAACTAATTTATTATTATCAGCATAAAAAATATTATTTATTACATATCCTCTACTAAATATACATGAAATAATAACATGTATTGGAGATGAGTGGGCTATATAGGCTACATGCATTAACATAAGCCATTAAAGCATCAGTTTAAAAAAGGATAGTGTTATTCACACACCCTTATTGATTTTTTTGTCATTGATCTTCATCAGTTCTTCCGATCCAAAAGCCAAAAACTGAGAGAGATGTGTGAGAAATAAAAATAGACGTATAGATAGCACTAAACTTATAGAAAACCTGTCTGGGATACAGCCCACCTTAGCCTTGTGGGTGGCTCCGCCGGTGTCTAGAATCCTCATATCCTAACCGTTTATCGTATATTGTGAAATCAGTTTTTTTTTTAAGTTATATTTATGTTTAATTTTAAATTTTTTAAAAATTAAATAATTTCTAACCACACAATGTACGATAAATGATTAAAATATGAGGATCTCTATGATCCCCATAATTTAGATCAGGTTGGAATTCAAATCCGTGGGCGAGCGACTGTGTTTGCTTCGCAAATCGCAAAATTAAAGTTGTTATGCTCCCATCCATGTCGATTCATGTATCTGATTAATATATGTAACATAATACATTTAAAATACATTATTATACTCATAATGATTATTATTTAATGGCAGCACGTACGAATATACGTGCAATTATAAAATGTTTGGAATGAAATTAAGGAGAATCAATAAACTAATTCAAGCCGGCACAAATAAATAATAATAATAATATGGCAGGAAGTTGATGATGTGACACTAATCACTAGATCGCGGGATAAACTTTTGTCGTATTCTTCCGGTTCCGGGTATCCGATCATTCAATAAATAATGTTTTTTTATGCAAAAATTTTAGGAAGTTTTAACAAAACACTTATGGTACTGTTCACTTTTAACGAAAAATAACATTTTTACCTTTAACTGACACTATTCATTATATCTTTAAAAAGTTTTTTTTTTTTTAAGATAAGTTTTTTTAGACTTTTCGTTAATTTTCTTAAAATTTTATGATAAAAAATGTACAATTTATATTTAAATCTTTCATCTAAAGATCATTTCACTATATAATACAACCATATAACTTCTTTTCTCATATGAGAGGGTTTTGAATCTTGGACGTAACCTAATTCAACAATACTTGATAATTCTGGTGAAGTGTTCAATAATTTTTATGAAGTATCAATAACAGTTCCATATTGTAATAATTATCCACGATAAATCTTTGAAAACAAAAGTTACTTTGTTAACAAGGAATGAATGGTCAATGATACTACATCATCCATAACCTAGAGAACGCATTTACCACTTCTAGTTTGTCCTTTAATTTGTCTGTAATGCACGGGTCAGACCCTTGTGGTACCACTAGGTCCATGACTCCAAGCAACCAAAGGTCCAACACTTTCACCCATGTCTACACAAATTTTGGTTGTGTAGAAGAGGAATTTAAGATTATTATGGATTCTTAAAACATAATTGAAATGATGAATTTTGTTCTTCAAAATTCAACCATAAATTGGTCTTTTTCTAGTTTCATAGCATAGTACCTCAATCATTTTCCTTTGGATAGTATTTTAACAAACATAAAGATTTCATCACGAGAAATCAAGAATCATATTGTAATTGATTTTAAATTAATTGATTTTGCAAGAATAATAATGACGTGAAGGTTGAAAAATAGATGGCACCAAATTCTTGTAAAATATGAGAATCCTTTTCCTACTTGCTATGGAATTGGAGTTGTGGTTCAAATTGGTGAAGGTAGCTGCATTTGTTAAGGGAGTTGCATTGGCCAAAGTTGTTGCCCCAAAAATTTAGGAATGGGGGCGTAAGTTATAAAACTATGAATAAATAAGATATTGTTAATATCTACTCCAGTATTGAATGTGTATCACAAATTATCAAGCCAATTATGTCAGTCCTTAACCAAGGTTTCTTAAATAGATGAATTTTGTTTGTTTGATTAACTTAAAAGAATAATGAATTTAAATATAAAACTTTCAATGTTTGTGTAGAGTTATTAATGTAAATGAGAGATAGTAGTTTAGAGGTGCTAGTAGTGGTGGTGAGGCGGTGATTATGGTGGGTGGTGAGGCGGTGATTATGACAGTGGATGGTGGCGGCGGCAATGGCTGGTGAGACAATTGTATGTGGTGGTGGCGACAAGTGTGATGGTGATGGTGATGATGATGGTGCGTGGTGGGTGGTGGTGTGGCCACTCATGATTGAGTTGTTTTTTTTTTTTTTTTTTTTTTTTTTTTGAACTCTCACTTATGAAAATTTTGAAATGACTACAGTTTACTCATAATTTAAACTTAAGAATTGGTGAATGTCAATTTATACACTAT